GAGAGAGAGAGAGAGACACGGTGTGTTTCTGGAGCGCTCGAAGCATAGCTGAGAATAGCCTTCTCTCTCTCTCTCTCTCTCCTTCTCCCTTTTCCACCGTTCGCTCCTCTAGCTTTCACTCTTTCTCTCTCTAACCTTCTCTCTCTGTCTTTCTCTTTCGATAAGATTCGTCGTCCTTGTCGCGCGGCGGTCATCCAGCTCTCTCTTTCATCCGCCTCGTTTGCCTCTCACTGCAATTAGGGAATTGCCCGGGGTATCTCGCATTCATCGCAAATGCAACCACGCTGACATGAACCGCCGTGGTAAAAGTGTGCAATGGGTTATTTTCATGCATTGTTCGTGAAAACGCGGCTTCGGCGAATTAGCTCGCTCCTCGAGTCCGAATCCTGCCTTCTATCGCGTATATTATGTTTTTCTGTTTTCTTGGGGTAGGATTGGATCGTTTCTTAAAGGGGGTGTTGAAAGTTTCGTTTATGGACGGCAGATTCTCTCTACTTTCCTCTACTTTTTCTTTTTCGTTACATATTTATTCTTGTCAAACGATAATACAGAGTTGTATGTATTTCCTGAATACTTGTTTTTCTGCATAATGCTTCAGATTTGATGTTTCTTTATTATCTTTTCATTTTGGATTGGAAAATTTTTCTATCAATTTTCAAAATGCTTATCTTTCTTATTTATAGCGTTTCGATATTTATTAGTATATTTTTAATCCTTTTAAAATTGTGTAAACTTTGAGAACGTTGAGATACAAAAGAAAATTGACTATTTGTACAGAGATGCGGTAAGTCTTAATTATATCGTAATGCATTTGAAGTTTTGCGAAACATTTTGAATTGACTTTTTATTTAAAATTTTTTGAGACTGGAATTACTTTGAACGGTTTCTCTCAGCTCACGACTGTGATAATATTCATTCGAGAGTTTTTTCTCTCTCAAATGGATTCACGTGTTTATGTTTTTCACGTAGAAATTATGTCTCGAAAGTATGATCGAAAGTGCGATTGTGTCGATCGTTAATTATCGAGGAAACTCCTTGAGTGAGAAAAATATGATCGACGTGTCGCTGATTGACTCCCTGATGACCAGAGCCAGACGCTCGAATGATATATCGCGATAGATTAACCCTTTCACAAGCGATCCGCGTTCTCCTTGACGAATCCATGTTGCATACGCGCATCGTATGGATAATTGCATCCAGACGAGCAATCATCGTTGGAAAAGTAAGAGATTTATTTATTTAAACCTGTGACAACATAGTTGGAAAGATTTAGTCGAGATATTTTACAACTCGAACGATAGAATTTTAGATTTATGCGATATTAGATTATGCGATTTAGCTAAAATAATTCTGAATATCAATTTTTTTAAATTTCGTTAAACAGAGCTTCGACGATTCGAGAAGAAATATTAGAGAAATTGATGATATTGAAGGAATTATGATTAGGAACGTGATTTAATTAAAAAATTTGGAATCCATAAATTTGATTTCTTTAATTAATTTCAAAATTTAATTTAAAAAACAATATCTTTTTATCGTAAAATAAAAAATATCTACGAATATAATGTATTCATTTTATTTTATTATATTCTAAGTGTCATAACAATAGCATTAAGAATTGAACTTTGAACAATTAAAAAAAATAATTAATTATAATTTCGAATAAAACTCACTTTATTTAAAATGCTCGAATAACAATTATTCGTAGCTCTTATAATTGATCCCCTCTACAACCTCGTTATCTGCGATTATTCAATGCTTGAATAAATGAACAATAAATTATTCAACAATATTAAAATTTCCCCCGATACTTAGTTCCACTTATATGAAAATTCTCTTTTATTATTTACCTCGATATAACCAAAATATTCCAACAATAACACCCAACAGAAAAAAAAAAAGAAACTCGCCAGAAACGCATCGAGTCCTACAACTCACCACCCTAC